GGGCGGAGAAGGGCCCGTGCGGGCTGTGGGCCGCCCCCGGGGCTGCCGGAGCCTGCCCTGAGCTGCCTATGCCATCGCGGCGCCTGTGTTCCCGCCATGGGGGTCCCCGCTTTTGGCTCCGAGTACCTCGCTTCTGGAGGGCCTGAGAATAATCGGGAGTGTGCTTTGCTTTGGAATATTCTTGTTTCCTTTTTCTAGTTTCCAGAGTTAAAATGAGCTGGTTTAGCTGCTCGCCAGGGTAGTCCGAAAGCAGGTGCTTCCAGGTGTTCTAGACACTTTAAGGGTAAATGCATCTCCTCTTAGCCGTTTTCACTAAAATGGCAGTGTGTAGGCAGGCGTAGAGCTTAGTGTTTCTCCAAATTAGTGAACTTAGTAAGCTTTGTCAACAGAATGTGCCAAAGAGTTGATCTCAAAGCTGAACATGTAAAAACAACAGCTATCTGCTGTGAAACTTAAGTTACTGTATTTAATAACAATAATTAAAAAATTAAAACTATCAACAACCTACCACCACAACCCAGCTCAAAACAGCACAACAGGTGGTAAGGGGCAGAGTGTAAAAATGTTTAAGATCAACTCAAGAGAGACAAAAGAAAAAACACTACTCCAAATTCATAGCCATGTGTGCAGCAGGACATGTTTTACCTTGCCCTGTTTTACTTAGTGCAGAGTCCTGAACACTGTGCCCACATTTCACAAGTACACTATTTGAATATGTGGAGCATTATTGTATGTAAATATATATGCAAAACTGAGGGGAAGAAGGATTGCTGAGTTCCCTGAAGTTCAGAGACTAGATTAGTTTTATAAAGGGATTTTATAATTGGAAGCTGTGACTGAAATGAGGAGATGAACTGGGAAAAGAAACAAGGGAACAAAATTTTTGCAGGCAAAGACAGAGACTGCTTGAATTATCAAGAAGTGAGTGATAACAACTTAGATTACTTTTTAATACCTACTTTTTTTCTTTTTTTTTTGTAAGGTATGCATTCACTTGCCTGTTATCAAAAGGTTTGATGCTTTAAGTGAGAGACTGAAAAGAAACCTTATGTTTTTATTCGTTCATAGACTCACTTTTTTGATTCTTGAGGGCTTCCATTTCAGTGGTGGTACACTCTGCAAACATTGAAATTGTAAATAATGGAAAATGTGGGTAGCTGGTCACATAATGATGAATTTGTCTGAAGAATAAGCCAGCCTAGTGTTATTTGCTCATGTATTTCTGTGGTTTGGTTTTCTTTGGTAGGCCTTTTCCGTTGTTTCAAAGCTGCTGTCTCAGCGTAAACTTGACCTGCTGGATGAACTGGTATCAGCAGAGGTAAATGCTTTCCATCTCTTATTCTAGCAGTTGCTTTTCCATCATGAAGCGCATTCAGCCTGTCATTATTTACAAATATCACCAGTTTGATTTAATTTGGGAAAAACAACATAATGCAGAACAGGGCAGCTGTTTGTCTTGCAGCTTACGGTTAATTTTAAGGCATGAAATTTAATTTAAAACTACTGTATTTAAAAAAAAAAAAAAAATAAAAAATTCTTGGCATTGAGCATAAGGACCAACTGTGAAAAAGATTGCTGGTATACCAAAAGGGTTAAAAGGCAGTGGGCCCTGTGTGGCAGGCAGGATCATGTACCTCTGTTGGTGCAGGCAGAGAACTGACAGTTTTGGGCTGTGCACTGGAGTTCAGATGAAGAAAGGAACTGGTTTGTGCTTGTTCTGGCTGTGCCAAGCAGATTACAGACAGTTACTGGTTCTGTCTGGAAGGCCTCAGGCTTGTGTCATGGTCTTAGGGATATTGCTTACCTGGCTAGTTAAGCTTTGGTGCTGTGTGTTCTGTGTTTTTATGAATTTTTAATTACTGCAGTTGTCTTGGCCTTCCCTGGGGACGGAGGCAGCAGATGCATCAGAGTCAAGTGGAGGAGATACTTCAGGTCTATGTCGTCCTTGTCATGGATGTCAGCTTGGCCTGCCCTATTGCCACCCATACCTTTACAGCAAAAATTTTGGTGCTGTTCTAGTGCACCCCCACTGGACAATCTTGCCTCCTCTCCCTGAGCAGAGATAGCAATAAAATGTGAGTTTGCTTCTAATAGTTGTTTTGAAAGAGT